TATTAAATAAATTAATACATTTAATATCATGTATGTTAAATAAAAAAATTATTTATTTAATTGATACGTAAAATTATATCAAAATATAATATAAAAAAATTACTCATAAATTATTAACTCAAAGATTACATTAAATTAATAGTTTGGTTAAAATTATAGAAACACCACAATCAAATTAATTTCTTCGTATCAATCAAAAAAATTAAGGAATACAAAACCTAATGAAATTAAGTTCAAGAAATTAGTTAGTTAAAAAGATCAACAGATACACATACAGAACACTGCTACAAGGAAATAAATTCTTACGGGAAGGAAACACCCTGGTGGATTTACAATGGATTTGATAAAGTTCTTCAAATCAATCAGCTTTTTTAAAACTAGATTTATAAATTTGTTAATACTGCACTTTTAATTTTCCTTTTATAATTAAATCAATTATTTTATAATTTGATTCAATTTATTTTTTTCCTTTTACGATAATATCAAGATCAACCATCTCTGCAATTTGATTCTCCCTCTAGCCCCCACAATGGTTAAAAGAAAAGAGAGAATCTTGACTTGACAGCTAATAACCAGAGGGCGGCCGGCTTATTTTCTTTTTTTCTTGGCACCCAATGTGTCTTTCCATAGAAAACTAAAAAGTTATTATCCTCAAACATAACAAGAAGAAAATTTTGTGTCTCGCATTGCAAATTTTGCTAATTAGGTTTTGCTTTTACTCATTTCTCTTCTTCCCAGCCGAATTCGGTTTCTTTTTGTTTTTTCTGCTACAGGTTTCCTTCTCCTTTTGAAACACAAACGAAACCTAATAATCTCCTCCAACTCCCAAGTCCCAACTCCAAAGTCCAACCTTTCACCCCAAAAAAAAAAAAAAAAAAAAAAAAAACTCCAAGTCCAACCAATAAAGCCCCAGAACAGTATCACACAAGACAGTATCACACTGTACCTTGCTAAGGGAAATAGATTCACCTACCCTTTACCCTCTCTATTTCTAGCTCTCTCTTTCTAGTTTATATTCCACTATGTTTGTTCTATTGGTTTCATCGCCTCCTGTCTAGTTTTTCTCTTTAAGAGAACGCCGAATTCCTTCGTTTGCCTTCAGATACCGTACACGTTTCTCAATCAAAGATGGGTTTTTTTGGTACCCACAATCCGCTTGGAACAATGTGAAAAACGGATTTGGGCATTCGGCAATCGTTAAACCAAAGCAAAAAGCTTTCATTTTTACCAAGAAAAAATTATTTTTGAATCATGGGTAAGGGAGGAATTCAGGTGTTTGATGATAAGATGGATGGGTTTTTCTCTGCATGCAACTTGGGTTCTCAGTGGAGTCTGATGGAGGGCCACCCTTACCCCGGTGGCTTATTTGCAAGCATTGGTCAAATAGGAATGGGATTCGGTGTTTCTTCCAATCCTCCCAATCCCCGTGATAACAGTGGCGGCATAAAATCTCCGTTCACAGATTTGTACGAGAAGTATGTTTCCTTCCAGGAGGAAAATCGTCTAGACGAATTGCCAGAAGGTGAAGAAGGCACTTTGAAGATGAAGAAGAAGAAAGCCGGTCTTAAACTCAAAATCAAGATTTCTAACCCTTCATTAAGGCGCTTAATAAGCGGCGGTATAGCTGGGGCAGTTTCAAGGACCGCTGTGGCTCCGCTGGAGACTATAAGGACGCACTTGATGGTCGGTAGCAGGGGGGATTCTACTACTGAGGTGTTTAACAACATCATGAAGCACGATGGATGGAAAGGCTTGTTTCGGGGTAATTTAGTTAATGTGATTCGAGTTGCACCTAGCAAGGCCATAGAGGTACGGAAAAAAATCTAAATTTGAATCTTCGTTTGTTGGTTAAGTATTTTCTCTCATAAAAATTGCGGTTTTATAATAGCCACTTATTATTGGTAATGTACTTTTTGACCAGATGTTGCTTATCTCTCAGATATATGTGTGTCATTTCTATCTGTTCTTCGGTTTTTGTGATGTCATCTTTTGTCTGTTTTAGAACCTGAAAACATTTTTGCTTTGCCTTAGACCGATCGTATCTGATTTTATTGGTAAAGTTGCAAATTTGTATGTGATCCAGGTGGTTTGATATTGTATTTTGCTTTGTTGGTTCTTTAGATGCAATCAATTTCTCTGATGAAGCTATAGCATGACGTTGATCCTGATTAGATTCATGGCTCTTGTTATTTCAAGAACTCTGTCTTTTCTAACACAAGTTAGTTGTTTGTGTATAAGAACTATATCCAATGAGTTGGAATAATCAGAGTCCAGCACTGCTTATTGTCAGCCAATTGTAATGTCTGATAGCAATAGCTTTTGATTTCTTTCATCTTTCTGCATTGTAATTAAGGGATGGTTATGCTTTGTTTCTTTATTGCTCTGAATCTTCTGAGGGTCAACAAACATAAGAAAGAATTGAGCATAGCTATTAAAATACCGGTTTTGAAAAGCCACCTCATGTAGGTGAATATAGCTGATAATGGTATTGGCTGTGTTCTTTAATTTATGTCATCTTTCATCATTGGTTGATGTTTCTGTTTTGGACCTTTTCTTAATTTTCCACTAACAGTATTTTGCAGTATCAAAGACTGGATCTTTAAACTAGTCATCATTGCTATTTGCCTGTTCTAGCTGAATTTTGGGTGTGTTTGCTCGTTTGCTTGTTTGCTTGTTTCCTTGTTTCCTTGTTTCATGCTGCTCAAACATGTTCTTTTTATGTATTTTCCCAGTTATGGATTATAGGGATGCTTGTTCATATAATCAAATAGTTTTGGTTCACCATATCCCAGTCTTTGCTACTGGGGGACATCATTTCAGTGCTATAGGACATGGAACTAATAGAAAGAATTCCTGTTTCTAGACCTATTTGACAGAAAATTTTCATTGTTGATGAATTTGTGCAGTTTTGATCTTTTTTATTTGTCAGATATGGTAGTATTAATTAATTATTTCTAACTTCCATGTATGAACTTCATCTCTGCAGCTCTTCGCCTTTGATACTGTTAATAAGAATTTGTCTCCAAAGCCTGGGGAAAAACCAAAAATTCCTTTACCTGCCTCATTAGTTGCAGGAGCTTGTGCTGGAGTCAGCTCAACATTGTGCACATATCCACTTGAGTTAGTTAAAACTCGTCTAACCATAGAGGTAAAAACTAACTGAATTTGAATTTCAATGCTAACGGTACTATTGTCATATTTTGTAATATTTGGGTGGCTTCAAATTTTGCAGAAAGATGTTTATAATGGCATACTGGATGCATTTGTGAAAATACTGCGAAGTGAAGGCCCAGGTGAACTCTACAGGGGCCTTGCTCCTAGTCTTATTGGAGTAATTCCATATGCTGCCACAAATTATTTTGCATATGACTCATTAAAGAAAACATACCGGAGAGTCTTTAAGCAAGAGAAAATTGGAAATATTGAGACCCTTTTGATTGGATCACTGGCTGGGGCTATATCAAGCAGTGCAACTTTCCCGCTTGAGGTGGCTCGCAAGCACATGCAAGTTGGGGCTCTCCACGGGAGACAGGTTTACAAGAATGTGTTTCACGCACTCTCGAGCATCCTTGAACAAGAAGGCATTCAGGGATTATATAAAGGGTTGGGTCCCAGTTGCTTGAAGTTGGTGCCAGCTGCTGGAATTTCTTTCATGTGCTATGAAGCAATGAAAAGGATATTGGTGGAGGATGATGAAGAATCATAGATTTCTTGGGAAAAAAATAAGTGGAAGTTTTAGTTATGCCTACATTTCAACAGACTGAGCTGGTATACATTATAGGTTAACATGTTCTCTCGGTTTTTATTTTTATTGTTATTATTTTTTATTTCCGGAAATTTTGTGCTTGGGGCTCAGTCCAGTCAAAGTCTAAGTTGGGAGGTAGAACTTGGTGATTTTGGAAATTTTTTTTTAAATTTTAAATCTTTTCCAAGCAAATAAATATTGTCTTCTGATTTTTAAATTTTGGATTACTCCTTGTGAATTATGATGCATGAGTCTCCGGCCAGTAGTGTTGGTTACTCTTGTTCCATATTCAAATATGTGCAGATTTACATCCTCTTCTCTTAGACAAGAGTTGGGTAATTGAAGAAAAATGATGCCAAAGATGGTGAGATCTTTACTCATCAGTTTGATCTTTAGAAAGGTAATGGAAGAAAAAGAGGAAAGAACAGATTGGGTTCTTTCTTTGGTGTTTCTGCTTGTTACCTTACCTTTTCAGCCAATGCTTATTATCTAAGAAGAGTACCATGAAAACTTTTCTAGAGTGTTTTAAAAAGAATGACTGCACTTGAAAGTCTTGTATTGAAACCAAACAAACTTTAAAACAAA